TGCTATGACTTCCACATGATCATATCACATTGTAGAGCTAAAGGCGAGGAATGCAGTGTCTTTATTTCCCTTTCAGAGAATTCTGAATACTTCCACTGCCCTTTAAAACCTTTACTATTGCTTCCCTTTCCTGTTCTCAACCCTGTGTAATATCAGCTGCAGCTACTTTCCTTTTGGAATTGGGAGAGCTGGGTGGAACCCGTGGGCTGTGACCACTCCCAGGGCAGGCAAGCAGGGCATAGTTCATCCTCTTTGACTTCAAACAAGTCTGAACCCAAGTTTCTTTTCAACTGTGATAATAAAAAGCACTGTCTTTAGGCACTTGCCTAGAACAAAATTATTTTTTAATTCATCTATCTTTGCATCTTCCTGCAAATGGAAACAGCCTTCCTAATTATGTATGGTAAGTTACCATAGCTTTGTGTTACATTAACCACAGGGAGAATTGGAAGTGAGGGCAACCTGGCACTTTGATTTAGAAGGTGTGAACAATCCCACATCATTCCTCATTAACAAATGATGGATATTAACTTGCCCAGAATAAATGTAAGGAGGCCAAACAGTATTTATTGCAATTACTGTCTGCCAAATAAAGAGGGAGAAAATCTAGTTTTACAGGTTTTGGGGATGTCTCTATGATAGGAGAGTGAGCCTATGAAGGATGTCATTGCTGGTAGCCAACACTTGGGGTGGGGCAGCTTGGAAAGCAGAGGGGCAGAGGTTTGTTGGGGTCGTGCACGTTAATGCAGCTTGAGGTGCACAGTGAGGACTGGGAACATGTCTTTATAGCACATTCTTTATATTGTTTTATATCACCATTCTTTATATCACAGCACTTTCTTGAACAAGCAGTGGGTAATTTCACTGGGTGAGTTTCAGACCACACAATAACCAATCTAGGCTCGTATTAGAATACAGAACAAGGCTTATGCAACTTGCCTTATTTTCTTGGTATTGTTTTCGTGTATCTACTAAAGCACAGAAATCAGGTTCTACCTCTGCACTGTTCCCCGATCAGTCTGGGCGGGCTGTGCTGCTCTGGAACGCTTCGGACCAGCCCAGTGTGGTCTGTCCGGCTCTCACAGCCCCACGGCACTGCTGCGGCCGCGCCAGGAGCCACGGAACGAGACATACTCCCCGCCGTGTCCCCGAGCCACGGACCGGGACACACTCCCCGCCGTGTCCCTGAGGATACCCCGGGCCCCGCCGCCCCCGCGGGGCTGCCCTGGGCGGAGCGCGGGGCCGGGCCCTCCCTCTGCCCTCCCTCTGCCCTCCCTCGCTCTCGGCACGGGGCGGGCGGCGGGCACGGCCCCCTCAGCCTCCCTCCTCCGGGCACAGCCTCCCTGCTCCGGGCACGGCCCCCTCAGACTGCTCCGGGCACAGCCTCCCTGCTCCGGGCACGGCCCCCTCAGGCTCCTGCCGGCCCCGACCCTCCCCACCCCGCGGACGCGGTAAGTGGCGCTTCCCCCCTCAGCCCCCTCTCCATGTTCTCGCCGTGCGCTCCTCGCACCGCGCCGCCCTCACGCTGCTCCCGGTCCGTGTGCCGCGGTTCGGGGAGAGCCGAGGTGTCGGGCCGGGCGGGCTCGGGGGAGCCCCGGTGTGTCCCTGCCGCGGGCCGGGCTGTCGGCGGTGCGGGCGCTGTCCCCGCTCGCACGGCGTGTGCCGGCTCCTCCCGCAGCCACCCGGGGAAGGGCAGCTCCCGCAGCACCCCCTCGGTGAGCAGCTGTCGTTCGTGCTGGGCAGCTCCCCCAGGGCTGGGCAGCCCAGCCATTCCACACACACCCCGTTACCTGTTGGCACCGCTCGGCCCGGCCGTGTTTCTGCCCGAAGCCGTTGGGGACGGTCGGTCCGGGGTTCGCACCTCAGCTCGCTGGCACCGTTCGGGCAGTGCCGTGCGACCCCATCGTGTTTATCCCCGAGTTCCTTCCTGCCTTTTCCCTCGGGATGCGGTGGGTTTCTGTACACCTGCTCCTCTGGGGGTCCTGGAGCAGCAGCGCAGGGGGACTGGTTTGGCCTGGCCTGCATCCTTTTAGAGGACAGTCAAAAAGGAAGATGTGAATTAGAAACGTGCGGCAATTGCTCCTGCTTTGGCTGATCACCCACCGCCCGCTGAGGACCGCGATCGGAGCGCTCACCTGCTTGCCGTGTGGGGAAAAGCGCAGCTCTGCCCCTTTGGAGAGGTGTTCGCTCTGAAACATCATAGGTTTCAGACCTTCCCGTGCTTTTTTATTTGCGAAAAACGTGCGATGGCAGTGATGGGGCAGTGATGCGCCTTATCTGCGGCGGTAATCCTTGCAGGCGCCTCGGGGACGGGAGCGGGCAGTGCCCCGCGGTGCCAGCGTGCCTGGCATTGCGGGCTTCCCCTGCTCCGTGTCCCGGAGCTCGCACCGGGATCATCGCTCAGGCACGCGAGGATCTGGGATCGCTTACAGCGCCAGCCCCGGCCCCTGGCTCTGCGCTGCGAGCTGGAATTAGCTGCAGAGCCAGCGCCTTTGGTACGTGTGCCTGAAGCTTGGAAATACAGCCCCGGGTCATTCACCACACATGTAATTACTGCGGGGTAAATTTGGGATCCCTTGAGAGTCACTGGCAGGAGCTGTGGTTCCATAATGGGACTGAACGCTCAGATGGTGGATGTGTTTTGTGTCCGCTATAGACACGTAGGCGGTAATAACTGCCTCAGTTCTCTGACAGAAATTTTTAGGCTGCTGTTGTTTTCTGAGAGGAAAATATTTTGGTGAAAGTAAGAGTTTTGATGAAATTAATATAATTTTTAACTGTGCTAGATTTATTTCAAAGCAAAGGGTAAAAACTACTTGGGTAGTTTGGGTTTGGGGTTTTTCTCCTGTTGGATAAAAGAAAACAGAAGGAAATGTGAAAGAAGGAGTGAAAGTGAAAGAAGGGTGCAAGAGGAAAACACTTTAATTTTTATAAAAATCTGTTTTCTTTTAGCCTAGGGCACCAAAACTAGAAGACAATATAACTTTTCATTTGTTTGCTGGGTTTGATTTTTTTTTTTAAATTTTTTATTTTTTCCCACCCAAATGATTAATTTAAAACAGTCCAGTTTTGATTCTAAACTCTTTTGGTAGTTTTTTCAGAATTATAAAACAGTTCATAAGGGAAGCTGATACTTTGGTCTGTTGTTTTGTCATATAAAAACATGCCACGGGGGATGGTTCTGAGGTTGGCAGAGGGTTTAGTCATTCAGCTCATGTCAGGTGTACTTGAGAAAGTAAGATGAGTCAGCTGTTACCTACCTTGGTCACTTGAAACTGGTTTCCTTAGAGTAGAAGACACCCTAAAGGAAAAAAAATCTAAAGCTGCTGGCAAGGCAAATGGTCCAACAGTTTTGGTCTCACCTCTGTTTTCTGTAATCTGCTCTCATTCAGTGGTGGGTTTGACATGTATAGACCAGTCACTGATTGTCACATAATTTGGTAATGACCAGCTGATAACTTCCCTGTGCAGAGAAACCTTTATTAAAGGAGAGAAATAGAACCTACTTTCTTCTGCTCCTCCTAAGGCAGATTCTGTCACCCTCTACAGAAGGTGGCTTTCAGTACATTAATTTGTCTTTTCACACAGCACAAGCTGCTCTAGAAAGGCACTTCTGTGCTGGAAGAAGAATGTCTGTACCCAGATACTGATAGAAAGTATGTGTTTAAGTTTGTGTCTTAGATCACAATGGGAAACTGATTTCTTAGGGTAAAAAAGCTCCCATTTCATGGTACAGCAGAGTTTAGGAATGTGAAGAGATTAGGCAGGAGATGTTTCTAGTGCCTGAAACTGCCATCTCAGAGGCCTGTATTCTATTTCTGGCTTTGCTAGAGCTTTGTTACATGTCTGTAGGAAAATCATTTGCCCAGGGTAAGCAATGCTTTGCTGCCTTGGGGTATTTGGTTTGTGTAAACAAGAGTTGGATACAGCAGCAAAAAGTGAGGTATTTTATACTTATATTAAACATTTACTATTCTATGGAGTGTCATTATGGAAACACAGCAGTACAGATGCTGAGTAGAGGCTGGCCTTGGTATGGAAATGCTCAGGAAAAAAAGTGGCTTGTTCTATTTCCTGAATGTACAACTTTTTTGTCTGAGTGAGTCAAAGATGAATTGACCATCTCTAATTCATCTCTACTTTCACTTATCACCATAAGTAAAATCATCACCTGACTAGAGAAAAAAAATAACGAAGGTTCTCATTCCTCCTTTGATGTTCTTGTGCTCTGTACTTGCAAATGGAGTCCAACAAAACTTGTAGTCTAAAAAAATCTTTGGAAGTGAAATCACCTTAATTTCCTAAGTTCAGTGTATAATATTTATGGAGCGTTATGTTCCTACTGGTGAAAGGCATTTTTATTTCGGGTGAATTTTAAGTGTGTGAAGGTTGTCTGCTGTTGGCCTATCCCCCTTGTGCTGTGTATTTGCTAATGGCAATTGTTTTGGGTCATCAAGTGTGTGATCTATTTTGGGCATCTGCTAGCTGTGGCTGTTGGGTGGAAGCCAGGGAGAGATGTCTGTGGAAGGCAGGACTGGATAAGGGGAGTGATGGACGTGGGAAACACCAACACACCAGAGGTGCCCCTGGGGGGTCTGAACACTTTGCAGCAGTTTTGCCTTCAGCCTTCAAAAACAAGGCTCTAGGCTGAAAAGGGTGCAAGTTAAAAGATCGGTAAAAGGGATTAGAATTGTTTGTTATCTTTGAGATAATACTGGGTGAGTTCTATGCACCTGCAGAATTTGCTTTGTTCTTTGGAGGGTGCTGGGAGAGGAGCGAACTTGTCAATCAAACAAAAGTGACTGTGTTCCCAGAGGCATTTTGGGTGGGTTCCCCACTCTCAAAGCAATGTTTTTAACTTGCTCTTCTGAATGGCAATGAACTCTCTCTGAAAACAATTATTTTTTAGGTGTGTTTGCATTAATGTTGTTTATAACTGTGTACCTGGGATTCTGATGAGGGGAGTAGTCAGCTTGAGGGATTTACCATCTTTGGGCAAGTCTCAGCAGTGTCTCTTCATACCTGGGCATTTTCCTGCACTGGACTTTTGCATGTGCTCAGAACTTAATTTTGCAGTTCAAGGTGAGCAAAAGGTTTGGGGTTTTCAGCAAGGCTTGGTATCGTCCTTTGTTTGCTTCTTTGAAGTCTGTGAGGGCTGAACTGGTTTTTCACCAACACCTCAGAAAATTCTGCTCTGAACAATTTTAAGCAGCATCAGACAAACTTAATAAGGAGCCAATAGCTCAGAAGTGTCCTCATTCTTGTAAATGCTGCTAAAACATTTATTGAGTCTGGTTTCAAGCCCTGAGCAATATTGGTCAATGAGCTTTCTGTGAAATTATGAAAGATTGCTTGAAGAATACAGTAATTTGCATACAAAGTGCAGTTTATTTTCATTGAGAGGAAAAATAGACCTTTTTGTCCCAGGCATGAATGTGGCTTTGGGAAGGAAATTAATGAGCAGAGTAACAGAACAGCTCACCCGGCTTCGCCTTGACAAACTGAAAATACACACAAGGGCAGAAAATGGCTGAGAAAGTATTGGGGTGGAAAGTGGAAGTGGAAAGAAATAACCCACGTTGTAACACATCATTCTCACCACTGACAAGTGTTGGTTTCTGCAGTGTATTTTAATGGTGTGATGGTTATTCTGGGCTTCAGTGTCACAACCAGTGTGGTTTCTCTCTGATGGAAACAGGTACCACTTCTCAGCCTGTGTGTTGTGTAATTAGTGCTCACTGCCTCATAAGGGGACATCTGATTTTGTTGATACCCCTTTACTTATTGCTACTGTTTTTTGAAAGAGTGAAAGTAATTCCCAACTCCTGTCAATGTAAGCATTGATGTAGTAGCCCTTCTGCTTGAAATAAAGCAGTCGAATAATTTTCCTCCTAGGTTTTGCTAACATCAACCAAAAAATATATGTAGAAACACTAAGAGACTATTTCTGTTCCTTTGAAGCAATAGAAGGAGCATATTTGGAAAAGAATTGAATTGATACTCAACATTCCATCCCTGTGTTAGAAGCCAGTGGTTTATAGAAAGGGTGGGGGCACACAAAGCAGCCGGTCCTTTTGCTGAGGTGAGTGCATGACAAAAAGTGGGTGCATTTTGGTGAGCTGTTGAATTTTTACAAAGGATTTGCTGCTTATGATATATGCTTTTGTCAGAGAAAAATCTTCAAATTATGTGCATTTCAAGTTGACAGGAATACTGCAATTGCTCTTTGGTGCTTAGTCCTGTTCTATAATAAGTCTGCTGATCTATCAAAACAGCTGAATCTTCTTGCAACACTGAGTTGAGCTTATTTCTAAAGGATCAACATAGAGCTTTATTTTGTAGTGAAATATGCTTCACAGTTTGCCCCAGTGAGATGCCAACCACTGCTGTTTAAAAACATGCAGGAGCTGTGTAGAAATATAGAACCTGGAAGTGCCCAGTGCATCTGAAGCAAGAAGCACCTGGGATTCATACAGAAAAGCACATTACATGGACAAGTGCAGATATGGTGCTGAAGCCTAGAGATGTGTGAGAATAACTGCATGGCTCAATGTAGTTAGATTTTGTCGTGATGCTTGGAGGCCTCACAGCTATTTTATGTGTTCTGATCTGAGTAGTGGATGTTGTTTGGGCTGTTGGGGATGATGCCAGTGTTCATCTACACAGGGAACATCAAACATGTCCTAACCCGACCGGTTATTCTGTTCAAATCTATTCTGTCACCATAACTTGTGTTGCTGTGGAGGTGTGTCCCAAGCAATAATGTGATTTCTGATCATCTTCCCATCCCAAAGCAGCCCAGCATAATGCACTCACAGATGCTCAAAAGCACCAACGAGAGGCTTGTCTTTCCAGACCTCACCAAGCTTATCAGCTTAAAGGACTGTGGTCAGGAAACAATTGCACAGACCACGCAGAGTAACAAGTGCTGCTTGTGTTCTCCTCATCTGAAACATCCAGTGTGTGGGGAAAGATGTGCTGAAAGCTCTGTAGATGGGATCACAAAGCCTTTTCACAGCAGCAGCTCAGGTGTCTGTTTGCTGTCCTGCCTGTGTGCCCCAGGAGCTCTGCCTGACCTGAGCAAAAGGAAGCTCTGCCTGGTGCTCTCCCTGGCTCGGGATCTGCCTGCTGACACTTTATTGAAGGAGCCTGTAATGCTGATTCTCATGCTGGCTCTCTTTAGTGTAGTGTAGAGGCTTTATTGTCCATAAGTTTGTCAAATTATTAATTAATTGCTTTGCTTTCATCACATTTGTGTTTCAGGGTGTGTTCTGTTCCTCTGGTTCAGTATGTGCTCAGGTACATCAGTGAGGGCCAGGAATCACCTTCACTTTAGGGTGCTCACCTCTTTCCAGGTTTGAACCCTCACCGTTTGGCTGAGACTGCTAAATTGATTATTTTGATTGATCAGTGGTGACTTTGGCCATGAAGGAGCTGCAGTGGATCCAAAGTGACTATACCAAAGTGTGTGTTACTGACACTTGGCCTCTTGGAAGACCCTAATGAATGTCACTCTTTATTCATATTCCAGTTACATCACCTTTGAGCATCAATGAAAGACCAGGCATGGCTTTCTTCAAGCAGCAGAAGGTGGAGGACGTTTATGACATCGGGGAAGAGCTGGGAAGGTAAGGATGCACCAGATGATTCTAAAAGCTGCCATGGGGGATATTCGCCATGTATCTTCAAACTATGACTCTGCATGCTAGCCTAAGTCAGTCACAGAACACAACACAAACACAACCCCTTACCAGAACTGCACTTTGGATATTTTAGGTTTTTTTTAGTTGAAGTGTGCTAACTATGTTTCCTGTTTCTTTTTTTGCAACTAGGACAACAAAAGGTATGTTCACATTGTCTTGCTTAGATAGGTGTCTGTGTCTGTGCTGTAGACTGAGTTCACCTGCCCGTTCCCTGAGCCAGCTGGGGAACAGGAACATCCTGTGCTGTTGTCACAGAGACAGCACTTGATTTTGTCTGGTTCTGGCCAGCCCTGCTCAGCACTGTGACACAACACATCCATGTCTGCCTGCAAAACACTGTGCTTGTGTTCCTGAAAAGATTTACCTGTCGGGATTTCAGCTGGACTGGTTAATGCCTCTGTATAGCTTTTCATCCATAAAGGCTAATCTGCAGGTATTAATTACAGCTGTAATTACCACCTGTAATCATGCTTCACCACAAGCACCTGCTGAAACACTCTGCTGGGTGTGTGGGCTGGACACACAGGGCTCCCCCAGCCCGAAGTAACATGCAGAGCTCTGGGTTGAGGAGAGCTGCTGTCCAGCCCTCCAGTGTTTTCCTTTTTAATATGTAAATAGCTAAATTAGGGCTATAGACACGTTGGCTTCTTTCCCAATGTCTGGCAGTTGGTTTTGATAAATAACTGGGTATGTGCAATTACCCTTTTTCAAGGGCCAATAATTTAGTTCCATTAAAACACTTCAGTTGAAGCTGTTTGCCTGCCAAATCTTTTTTTTTTCACTCTCAGCTGTTTCACCTTTGGAGTTGGTGAGAAAAACTTCTTTTAAGGGGAATGGGGTTCGTTTGGTTGTTTGTTTTCCATTCCCTTCCCTCTCAGGAAGGCCTTAACTATTAACTTTTCTGTACTTGCTTACTTTTGAGTAATGACTAACACTGAGAGTATCAGTCTGACAGTGCAAACCTGACCATAGTGAGCAGTGTAGGAATTCAGTGTGTGTGTGTGTGCAGGGTGTAATTGCTGTGGTTTTTTAACCTAGGAGGCCCTAGTATGTGCTGGAACAGTGAAACTGCCAAAGGGAGAGACTGGAGACTGAGTAGCTTAATTTTAATTTAGTTTCTGAATTGGATTTGGGAATCTTTTGAGATGATGAACATCACTCTCCTCTTCAAGCTGATGGATATTTGGCACTTTGAATGGAGGGGTTGTTGAAGCAACGTGGTAGAGGCTGGCCATTGCTGTTGAATCACCCTGAGAGGCCTCAGGCTGTGTGGTCAGAGCAGCCCTCCCCCTCCCCTGGCTGCAGGTACAATGTCACACTGTCTTTGGCAGTGTATTTTCACTTTCACGTGTGAGGAGCTCTGCAGAGCTCTTATTTCAGCTCTGTGTTAAATGTGAAGTGTCACCTGGTTCATCATACCTGTATATCTCTGAGCAGGAACGACTGATAAGGGCCAGTGATAAATGATATCTTGCTTTGTTAGAAGCAGAATAACATGCTGGACAGATTGCAGTGCCTGATGTGTTCTACTGCTGACTGATGCCCTTAGAAACTGGGGATGCCTTTTATTAGTTCACTGTGTTTGCAACAAGCTGTTGGTTGCTGGCAGGTAAAAGGTCTCCTTTATTGTAATTTTGGCAGCAGGAGTCACTTAGAAAACTAAGGTTTCCAAACACTGTCTGTGAAGAGTCTGTCCTGTTCTTGTCCTCCTGAGCCTGTGACTTCTTGAGAGCAAAAGCAGTTGTTAATACAGGACTAAATCCTTGTTCTGACTCAGCCATAAGATGGAGTGGAGGATGTCACTGCCAGAGCCAGCACCTGCTTGACTGTTTGCACAGCACCAGGGAAGGGATGCTCCCGTGACACAGCAAATGCTGCTTCCCAGGGCTGAGCTGGGTCTGGGCTGGTGGTGACATGAGACATTCCTGTCCTTGGGCAGCAAAGGCTCCTCAGCCCCCGCTGTGCAAACCCTGCAAACAGCATTTGTGACTCCTCAGCCAGACCACGCTCACGGTCCCTGCTGGGCTGGCAGCAGCTCAGAGGGTGCTCTGAGGGCAGCTGTGTCCTGAGCCCGGGCAGTGGTGTGAGAGCAGGCCCTCCGCAGGAAGGGGGAGCAGGTTTTCCATAGCTGCAGCTGCCTGTGGAACTCGCTGCTTGGCTCCAACATTCCCTCAGTCTTTCAAATATTAATCTTAGGTTTACAGCTCTGTTGCTCAATTTCTCCAGAGGGTAAAGGCAGGGAACGATGAGTCAGGCACTTGGTGTTGGAGACAAGTTGCTGATGGCCTTGTCCCTTGTAGCAGCCAAATGTGTGCAATACTTGAAATACACACATATAACCAAATTGCTTCCCCGATATCAGCCAGTTTGCAAGTCTGATGTCTGTGTGGACTGAGGTTCTCTAGCCACAGCTGAAAGGGAACCTAAAAAGAGGAGCCTATAAAATGAATTTAGCACATTGTTTCCACATCCTAAGCAAATAATACAGCTTACTGCTAGGATATTCAAATATTAATTTCTTCCTTTGTCAAAATTGATGGCAAGAAAAGGAGAGAGCTTAGGAAACCTATTTGAAAATGAATATGTATGAGGATTTATTTAAAAAACCCTCAGTTTTACTAGGCTGGCAGTCTAGAAGAGGTAGAAAGCAACGTGGACTGAAGTGATCAGTGCCTGCAGAGGTATGAGGAGATTGTCTTCTCTCTCCCCCTCTCCCAAGGGTGCTAGACAGTGTGATTTGGGAGTACCTTTTTTAGTCCTCTCCAGCATTTAGTGCTGTCACTCTTTGCAGGCGTCAGACTCTCTGGCAGATTGAGTTTTTCTGTGCCTGAGCTGTTGATCAAAAATAGATGCTTCAAAACTTATTTTTCACAGAATGTTTTCAATATGGATCCCTTTGTAAATGTGAGTTTGTGTTGCTAAACGCCTGTTTTATTCAAGTAATGAAAAACTGCATCCTTTAATTTTGATTTTAATAAACTTTGTGAGAAACATTAACAGATTTGCCTGTTTTGAGCAGGATCCTGGTCTAAGCCCTTTGCAGGAACGTTGCAGCAGATCATTCTTAATTTATAAAAGGCTGTACCACAGAGCCATTAATCTCCTTCCTAAATGTGTTGCCAGCCAGGCTGTGAGAGCTGTTGACATTTGTGCCTCCTGGGCAGTGTCACTGTTACAGGTCTGAGGGTGGGAAGTGCCACGGAGCTCGTCCCAAAGTGTTCTGTGCCAGTGCCCACTGAGAAGGTGTGTCCCTGCAGGGAGGTGTGAGGGTGGCAGTGTCCTGGGGCAGTGTCCTGCTCCCTGCAGCTCAGCTCTGCAGCGTGGGAGGGCTCACACTGAACAGAGGCACTCCACAAACCCCAGAGGGATGTTTGTGGGCGTGGAAGTCTCCCCTCTTCACTGTGGGAAGGAGCTCTGCCTTCCTCCAGCGTGGGCCAGCCGTTCCAGTTGCCACTCCAGTCTCTGACCTCTCTTACTGACTGGGAGCTGTGCTTATCCCTCATTCCTGGTTCAGTCAATGCCTTCATGCCAAAGATAATCACTGTGATTTCTCTTGGTTAGTTTGGGCATAATCGAGTCTTCCTTTCTCAGCCCCTGCAGAGTGAGGCTGAGAGAAAGATAAAGCCAAGCTCAATCTTTCATCAATGGCTCATCATCCCTCCTGTAGTCCCCCCTCTCCAGCTACAGATTCCTACCTCCTCCTTGCCTTGAGACAAGGAAACCCTTTCTTCTGGGTGAAGCCTTAAAGGACAGCAAATAAAACATTTCAGCAGTGATGATGGGAGCTTGGAGCCTGCCACACCATCACTGTTCTGACAGGGGAACTACCAAATATTTATTTATGTTGTGAAAACAAAAAGCAGAGATAACTGTAGGGGAGGAACTTGGAAATCCATGATGAAAAGCCATGTCACCCAGCTAGTTGGACTCTCCCTGTAAACACAGGGGTGTGATTGCAGCTGGGAAATATTCCCTTAACACACCAGGCAGGATCTTCATACCAGGCATTGTTTTCTATCTATAGAAATTGTTCAGTATTGTGCTTTCTCAGACCTTAACTCTGTCCTTAGATTAATTTGTACTTTAAATTAATTCTTTAAATTTTGAAGAATAACCTTGGATTATTTTATCCTACAACACACACAAAACAAGTCTTTGCATTAGATGCAAAATGTAAATTTAGTTCTTGAGGACTAACCAGCACCTCTCTTAATGTTCCTTGTTACAAATCTTCTAAGTCATGTGTTTCATGGATAATGAATCTTCTGCTGAAACAGTTCTGGCATGCAGTACTTGGTCAGGATCACTGTGATTGTAATCAGCTGTCTGAAACAGTTGCTGGTTTTGGACTTTTTCTTTTTATATTCTTTATATTCTCAGAGTAAGTGCTCTTAGCTTATTCCTTTTTTAAGCAGATTTCCCTCTTAATTTTAAGTGTTACTTTAACTATTGCCAAAATATTTTGATTTGTCACGGAAAGTGCAGAGAAAATGGGAGGTTTTGTTGCTTAGATTTTTTTTCTAAAACAAAGCTGCTCTGCCTACAGTAACTGAAAAGATCTGGCCTTGGTGATTTAGACCAGGCCTTGGCCTTACTTTGTAACAAAGTCATGCATTCCTTATCACCAGCACCCACCTTGATGATGGAAGTGATCTCAGTGTATTGCCTTAGTCCATGTCTGGCTTTGAAAGTATAATTAGAGGTGAGTGACCTCCTTGGTAGTGCTCAGGAAGCTCAAATTCTGTAATGTCTTTAACTCTGAATATTAAGCAGAATATTAACCCCGGGAAAAAGCACTGAAGACTAATTCCAGGAAAAAACACTGAATTTTAACCCGTCATTGCCTTGCCATTTTTGTGAAAATGAAACCATTTTTCCTGGTTTGCACTGAGGGAGAAATCAGATGGAAATTTGAACAGCTGAGA